AACGCCTTCCCGATGAACGCCAGTGGGCTTTGGGGGTTGTGTCATCTCCAGCTGCAAGCTCTCCTTCCCTGCCTGCACGGAGGTGTCCGTCTTAAGGGGGAAAGAGAAATGTTATGAAAGACCTCAGCAGCAGCTCAGGCTGTGGAGCAAAGCCGAAGGGGACGGTGCTAAAAGAAGCCAGTACCTGGCTCAGCAGGAGCTGGATGGAGTCCTGTGTCCCTGCATGGGACCTTGTCTGCAGTTCCCTGGAGCAGCCCGGGGAAGCCAAAGCAGCACCCTTGACTTGCAGAGCAGAAACGAGCACCCTGGGAACAGCTACAACAGCAGTTAAAGGAGCCCTGAGCAGCATTTACAGGGCTCTGTTGCCTGAACGAATGCGCTTCAACGTCCCTTTTGTCATGAGAAACTGCGGGAACAAAGCGCGGGATCCCCTGAGGCCAGGGAAGTTTGTTTGTGATCACCAAGAAGAGAAACATGCTGTTGCTCAAGCCTGGCAAGGAGCTGTTCTTCCTGAGCCACCCCTTGCAAGGAGGCAGAGCCCATTTGCCCATGTGCGATGGGCTGGGGTACTGGTAACCCTGCTGCCGAGAAGGGGGCGGCATCCAGCAAGCGCTGGCAAAGTGTGTCAGGCAGTCCCATCGTCCTGCACCCCAGAGAGATCATCCCTGGGTCTCCTCCTCACTGCTGGCTTCTGGTGGCCCCCAAATGCTAGCTCAGCATCCCCACTGTGTCCTGCACCCATGGGGCTCCTGTCCCCTCCACCACCTGACCCACGGTACCACCACTTTGGGTGAGTGACCCACCCTGCACAGCCCAGCTGGGCTTCCCTGTGGCCCCACAGAGCCCTTGTCCTGCCCTGTGGGCTGGCCCAGCCTGCACTGCACCCACCCAGCCCTCCTTGGCCACGGCTCCCTGTCCCTAAGCCACCTCCCTGCACTCACGTAGGACACTCCAGTGGAAACATCAGGGTCCGCGAGCTTGGAGCAGGCATTGTCCTTGCTGACCATGGCACTCACTCTACAGGCCATTTTCCTGCTGTTTCTTTGGAGGTGGCTCCTTGGCACCCACAGGCATCTAGCACCCCGTGCAGGTGTCCACCAGGTAATGGTGGGGACGGGCGCAGGGTCTGTCTGGCCACAAGAGCAGACGGGGGGCTGCTGGCAGTTCCCAGCGACAGGGCCAGCAGCACCCCTGGCATGGATGCCAAGTGGAGGGCCCGCTGCTGCACCCAGCCCTGGGCAGCACCAAACCAGCCCCACCAGCCTGCCCGCCCCGTGGGGTAAGCAGTCTTTGCCATTTTTGGCAAAAGGAGGAATGTGTGTTGTTTGTGGGACGTGCCGTATCCAAGGACAGGGGGATGAGGAGGAAAGGGCCAAGCACCCCAGAGGGACAGGCAGCCGGGGCAGGGGCTAGGTCCCAGCAGAGCTGGTGCTGGGCGGAACACAGCAGCCTTGGGAAGGGACAGCCAGGGGGACAAGGGTTCCCATGGGCTGGGCTCCACCTCAGCTCCCTCCCACTGGGGAAGGACAGCAGTGGACAGTTAGGGGCTTCTTACCCAGCCCCCATGGCAGGGGTCCTGCCCACCTCCCCCTGAGGCAGCCATCCTGACCTCTCTCTGGCCAAAGCAGCTTTTCACCCCTCAGGTGACACCAGTGGGGCTCGTGACTGCGCTGATGGAGCACGGCTGATAATGAGCCTCCTGCTCTGTTTTGTTCCCATTTATAGACAGCTAAATATAACTTGCTGCTTATTTTTAATTCTTGGTGAAAGCTGGGATCCACAATCCATCAAATCGGTTTTGTACTTTCCATATTTGCAGCCTTGCATCACATCCAAGAGAGAAAACAAAGTCATGCTCAGCACAAGGTTTGCAGCCAAGTTAGGCAGAGGCAGCGTGTCCCACGCTGGAGAACTGGTGGCCATGGTGCCAAGTGCAGAAGGTATTGCAAGAGTTGCAGAAAAGTAGCTTCCTCTGTGCCAAAAAGACACCCCCAGACCCAACCAGAGCTGCTACCAGACCAGCTGTGGGCAATGCTGGTCCAGTCTGCATTTGCTGGCAGGTTTTGCTTGTCACCAGGCAGAGCAAAGGGCTTTTTGAAGGTTTTCCTATCTCCCAGGCAGGAGCTGACAGGATCGTACAGCTCCCTCTGCAGCAGGGACAGGAGCCAGCAGCAGCTCACAGACCCACTGTGTAAGACAACGGAACCGCGAGCAAGCACGTCGGGGGTTGTGTCAGCTGGTTGTACCCCAGAGAGAAACTTCCAATTTTCAAATTCTAGCAGCCTTATAAATATCCCCATCATGCATTTCAGGGTTCAAGCTGAGAGCTGGCAGGGAAACCAGCCTTGTCTTGCTCACACCCCAGGCAGAGGCTGCTGAAAACCTCTCATCTCCACTGTAAAACCAGTTCCTATTTCAGTTCCCAGGTCCTACTCCTCCTTTCATAGCTCAGGAGATAAGACTTTGACAGAAACATCAGCATCACATTTGCACACAAACACACACATGGCTCCAGCAGATCACATTTATAAGAAAACAACAGATCCAACTAGATTCCTGTCATCTTTTACTGGACTTGCACGAGGCACTGTTTTAAGTCTCCACACTACATGGGAAAACCATCAGCCAAAGAAATATAAAAAGTTCTTCAAATGCTGGACTAAGGGCTTGACCAAAATAAGGCAAGCAGCTGTCCTGCAGCTCCTCCCTTCTGCACTCTTCCCCTCAGGTCTTCAAAATTCACCCTTGCTGACTCCCAGTTCTACAAATAAGACACTATTTATGTGTTCATTTATGTGTCCTGTTAGTCTTTCCAGACAGCCAGGTCTTTACAACAGCTTAGTAATTCGGGATACTGTCCTGCTGACTTTCACTTGGATGCATTTCCCTTCTCCCAAGGACACCAGCTCCCCACACCCAGTTGCAACAACACACACCACACTATTTTCTCCTGGTCCTATTTTGTTTGCCAAGGGCCTGCCCAGCTAATCTTGAACTGCCCCAGAGCAGCTGGAGAGGAAAACCTCTGCTCTCCAAGGTCCAACCTCCCTTTTGGAAGGAGGGAGACACAGGGAAAATAAGACTTTGTTTTGAGCTGAAGCCAAAACTAGCTATAGGTCGAAAGCCACGTGTAGGGCTGAAACTGCTCTGATGATTTACAATAGTGCTGCCACATCCTGGGCTGGCTTAAAACAAAACTCTTCCCCCAGTGCTGCCCTTCCTTGTGGGCAGCTTTGCCCTTCTTTGGTGCGGCAGCATCCTCCCAGCAGAAACAGCTCTTCCCATTAAAAGGAGAAGCCAAAACTTCTCATACAATAATTCATGTCCTGACACGTTGAAAAAAGCCCACTGGAGTGCGTTTACACAAGGCTGTAGACACACTTTCTCCATCAGCTAACAATGTTTCCCAACTCCCACAGCCCAGCAGCTCCTGCTGTACAATCCCAGCCTGAGAGGCTCTCACATGGACTTCTCCAGCTTTCAACCATCGCTCCTCCCATTCTCATCACATTCCCAAATCCATCTTTTCCCCGTTAAGGCTATCTTTGCAAGCTATCAAAGTGTGACTGGATTATATAAATGGTCCAAAACTTAAGTGATGGCCAGGAAAAATTAATGGGAAAACTCAACTTTTAGGTCAGCATGCGCAATAGCAAATGGAAAATGCAGCATCTGAGCTGACAGCTCCCCGTGCCCTTAGGGACAGCCATGTAGGAGCTGGACTTCATTTCCAAAGAGGCTGCAGCAAGCCAACTAGGACTCTAAGCAGCTGGTAAGCATGATTATTTTCTTTTCCCTCTTACTAAGTTCAGGATTTTCTCTTCTTTTGGGATGAATCAGATAGACAGACTTTTCTGTTTGCAAGAAGTTTCCTTTCTTAGAGTTATTCTCAGAATAGCCAGTGAGGATTTTAAACCAAGAATAGACAATCTCCCTTAGATACCTACTCCTGTTTTTGGAAACACTATTTAGAGATCAAAATGCCCAAATCAAAAGTAGTCAGGAACAACACTGAAAACTCAGATGGCTCTAACAGCCAGCACTGCTCTGGCACCTTTTTATTCACCTCTTTCCTCAAAGACTCCTGAGAAGATTTGGTTTGCCCCAAATCTCCCTGAGTTGTATCAGCTCCTTGCCAGAAACCTGCAGCACCCAGATTCAAGGTATGAGCACCCTGGAACAAGTCACCACTGGAATGTCAGGAAAAACTATGCTACAAGGAATTAGAAAAAAAGATCAGTATAAGCCAAGCCCCTGGTTAATACCCTTTGAAGAAAATACTGGAGTTGGAAAACAAGTGGACTTTTTGTTGTGTGCTTTGCACAGAGAGCCGTCAGGGTTTTTTAAAATATATAGATATAAAAATATAATATTCATATAGCATTATGTGAAATTTAAATTCTGAATCATGGTCTGAATCCCTAAACTTAAAAATGGCATTGCTCCTACAGATGGTATGCTGATTTCTGCTGATAAATAAGCAAGCTTCATATAATAAGTACGAGCTTTTAATCTAGTAGCTGCTAAAGGAATAACTGAAAGCCACCAAGAGGACTTAGTTCATCTATCACTTGTCCAAAAGGTACAACTGACAAGATTATTTCATGTTGCACTGTTAAGTATTAGACAGAAAGACCAAAAGAAATGGGAAAGATATAGTAAGGGAATATCACACCTAAAGCAGTTTAAACTCTGAGCTAGCAGATACAGCTTAAAACTTTCCCATTTTAAGACAGGATTTGGAGGGGCCCTCGGGAGGAGCAGTATTACTTTCCTTCAGATATGTTGACTCAAACTTTAGTATTCCATGCCTCTCTGCTATTCAGGGGTGGGGAGTTTGTTTCACCCTCCCCGCAATTAACTTTTAAAACTAACAGAGTGATTAACTACACCAGGAACAAATGATGAGGGTCCCAGCACGCTTTCTCCTTTGCTCACTGCTGCTGCTGGGCTCCCATTGCACAGAGGTGGCTGCCCAGGATGTCCAGCCAGACCCTAAAATGCCCTGTGCCAACTGGATGGGAGGAGCACCGGGCCACCCTGGCCACAACGGGCTCCCCGGCCGGGACGGGAAGGATGGAAAAGATGGACCGAAGGGAGAGAAAGGAGATCAAGGTTGGTGAGGAACAGAGGGTCTGTCAGTGCTGGAGCCTGTGGGCAGCCCCAGGCCCAGCCCTGGCAGGTCTCATGTCTGGTGGGTCTGCCTGATCTTTGTCCAGATGGCTTTTGAATACCTCCAGGCGCGGAGATTCCACAACTCAAGTCAGAGTTTGGTCTGCTGGTTGTTTTTCCAGTTAGTGGCGTTTTTTCAGACACGCTGCTCTCAGCAGCTCTGCACATGGCTGGCAGGGGGTGACTGGGCTTTCACTCGCTGGCTCAGCTCAGGGGGGTCACCCAGCCTTGCCTCAGCTCCGTGCTACAACCCCCTCGGCGTTTCGGGCGGGCAAGTAGCTGCTGCCAGCACAATGCAGACACCCCCCCATCCCCGCTCTGTCCCCCAGGTCCCCCAGGTATCCCAGGCCTTCCGGGACCACCAGGAACGCCAGGGCCACCAGGAATTCCTGGATTCGCAGGGCGGAAGGGGGAGAAGGGCGAAGGTGCCTTCATCCACCGCTCTGCCTTCAGCGTGGGGCTGACGGAGCGAGCCCCCCACCCCAACGTCCCCATCCGCTTCAGCAAGATCTTCTACAATGAGCAGGGCCACTACGACGCCAGCACCGGCAAGTTCCTCTGCGGCATCCCCGGCACCTACTACTTCGCCTACCACCTGACGGTCTACCTGGCCGACGTCAAGGTCAGCCTCTACAAGAAGGACAAGGCGGTGATCTTCACCTACGACCAGTTCAAGAACAACGTTGACCAAGCCAGCGGCTCCGTCCTGCTGCAGCTCGGCGCCGGGGACGAGGTCTGGCTGCAGGTGTACGGGGACGGGGACAACAACGGCATCTACGCCGACAACATCAACGACTCCACCTTCATGGGCTTTCTCCTGTACCCAGACCTGGATGCCCATTAAAGCAGGGGGCGCTACACAGCAAAGGATGAGGTGGCTTAACCCCGGACGGTGTCGTGGGGCACTGGCGCTATAGCTATGCTGTATTTACCCCAAAACTGCCTTTTGCAGGGAGACCATTGCCAAGGGTGGAGCCCACCTCCTGTGAAATCACTGAGGTTATGCACGAGCGAATTCCAGGGCTGCAAGAGTTCCCTCCTAACTCTGCTCTTGCTCTCCTTGTGAAACCTGGACTCATAGTCAAACCCCACTCTTGCTACATCATGAAAGAGCAACCCTCAACATGGCCTAGCTTTTTTTAAATTTAAAAGTGATAAGAGAAAAACTGGTTACATTTAAATAGCACATCCTCAATTTCCCTTTTCTAACTGCCTAAGTTCATTTAAACCACTGGTACACATTTAAGAGGGAGAAGACAATTCACAGAAGCCATCTCTGTTCTTGTTTTCATCTGGAACAGATGGCTTCATTTTTTCCATCATAACTCCCAGTCTTATTGGGGCCTTTGACTTCCACCCATGGTTTGTTTCCCTTCTTTATCCCAGATCTTTGAATATATCCAGATAAACTTTCATTTATTTTAATCCTTTGATTGTTCCTGTTATGTTTATCCCTTATGGTTATCTTTAATGGCCACAGCGTGCTTCTTTAGCGCAGGGATCTTCTCTCTTGATTTATCTGAAAAGCCTTATGAATGCTGGTGAGGCTACCCAACAAAAGTGCCCTGTTGCCTGTGTGGCTTTGGGGGACCCCAGATGATCACAGACATGTTTGCCATACAGTTGTGATGCTCAGAAATGGATGCAGCTCCTCTGCAAACACCATGCCTGACCAGGGAGCAGAATGTCCCTCAAGGCTCCTGGGCAGAGAAGATCTCAGGGTGGAGGTGTCCCTTCCAAGTCACTCACCTGGCACTGGTGATGGCACAAGTACACGTTCAACTCAGAGGCTGCCAGCATGGGGCACATGAGCAGCGGTTTCCACCTGCATGGTGGGATCCTGTCCCAAGTGCAGTCAGAAGTTGAGATCCAGCAAGCACATTTCCACTTTTCAACACCGCAAGTGTGCCGTCAGTCTGCACAGCAGCTGGGCAGAGCTTCAGGTGATGGTGCAACCCCCCACATTGAGCGGGCTCCTGCCACAAAGCCCCCCAGGAGCCGCCCCAGCTCTCTACAAGGCTACCTTACTGGGAGAAGAGTGATTAGTAGCAATCCCATCAAACTGCTCTCCAAGGAGCTTGCTTGACTTTCAGCTAGAAGAGGATTGATGCTTTCTCAGGCTCAAAGAAGACTCTCACTAAGCTTCAGAACAAGCTAACACAGATCAGAGCTAATGTGTTATTGCCAGCACAAAACAGCATTAAGAGCTTCAATTGAAATTACTTCCAACAGTAGCATTTTCTACACTCCTGTGAATTACCACATTATAAATAAAAAAAACCAATAAAAACCTTTTTCAATGAGAACGCTCCCATGTTTTTGTACATGTCATTGGGAAGGATTTGAAGAAAGGGACATTCTCTCAGCCTCACCATGCAGCCCAGGGAAACAGACAGATATTTGTCAAGGTGGGGGCACTGTGGGCTGGCATACACAGGAACACTTCCCTTTTGCTTTCCACAGAAGTTTCCTGCCCTCTAGCCTTCATCAAGGCTTCAGCATCTCACCCCCTCACACTGTATTGCCTCCTTTATGGGTAAGATGAGCTCTGGTTTCCAGACTACTGACCCAAAACCACTGTGCCTCAATCTACTCAGAGTGACCAGCCAGAGGGAGGGTCTCCACTGGCCCGGGAAGCTTCAAGCACCCTAAATTAAGCAAGGGCCAAACTGATGTGCAATCCGATCATGCTGAATTCAGAGAGCTGGGAAAAACCCTGCTCCTGTTGAGTGAATGAAAGGGAAGGGATCAGGGTTTAAAAACACCCGCAAACAACAAAAAGAAACCAAACAAAGAACCTAATCCATAAATAAAAGATGTTAAAATGCAGCAGTTGCTGGATCAAACGGTGTAAGAGGCTTAAACAGAAAGGAGAAAATCAGAGCTTTTGCAGTGTGTTTTTCGGATGGGTTTCTGAAAGCAGGGAAAATTGAAACAACCACAGTGCTAAGAGACATTTGGGATAACCATGAGGAGGAAATACAACTCTAAGGACTAGTTCCCAAGAGGCAGCCAAACCAAATTATTCCTTGCACACAGCAGGAGCAACCATGGGTGTGGGTTCATCTCGTGCCCCAGGACTTGGCAGCCTGGAGGTGGCTTTGCCCAGCGCCACGCACGCCTGACACCATGTGCTGTGGCCAGGGCAGACACCAGCTCTCCCAGCACCCCCACAACCACCCCACCACCCGCCTGACCCGTGTCGAGGTGCTCCCACCCGGGCCACCGGCACAGGGCTGCTTTTAGGGGAGGGCTGCAATAGGGTTTGGGAGAGTACTGAGGTCCTGGGAGACGAGCTTTTTTTTCAACCTTCTTCCACTGCTGAGTTGCTGTGGCTTTCTCTCCTTCCAGCCTTCATAAGCCCATGGGATGGGAAAACCTGGCCCAAAGCCTGGGCTGGCTCCTGAGGATTGCCCAAGGCTTTGAACATACAATTATCTTGTAACAGAGGAGTCAAAAATAGCAGTGACATACTGAAAGGGTACCCAATCACCTGCTCTCTGACCAGTTTAAATGTTTCAGTTTGGAGCTGTTTGTTGTTGCTTTTTTTTAATCAATCCTGACACCAGATGCCTAGCACAAAGTTAGGTCTCACTGTGTACTGCCCCTCTAGCTGTGGCAGGTTTAAATGGCCAGTTTGCCCTTCAGGAATAAATGTGCTGCTGCAGACACAGAAATGGGATGGGCATGAACACTGCCAGCAGCTCATTAGACACCAACCTGATGAAGACACCAAGAATGAGGTCTTGCTTCCCACTTTGTAATTAGGGCAGGTTATAAAGAGCACTCAGCTCCTTTGATCTTGACAGCTGCCGTGGACTCTCCCCTCCCTGGACTGCTGCTCAGAGGCCACAGGAAGGCAGCGAGACCTCCTGGAGGCAGCAAGAACACTCCACAATGAAAGTTCTAATTTATTGCACTAACAATTAGGGAGAAATAATGTGGCTACAGCTGGAGAGACTGGCCAGTCTCATCCAGCATGGAAACTATGTGTGAAAGCATCCACAGCCCTTTTAACCACAGTTATACAGGAATCCTAACTGTGCCCCAGCCCCACACCATCACTTCTGCCAGGAATTAATTGGAATGAAAATAGCTGCTGCACTAAACCATGAAGAGCTACAAGAAAGAGATAGATCACCTGCAAGACTTATATTTATTTGTGAAGTACTAACTCACTAGAGGGTTTTTGGCATGGAGAAGGCAGAGGGATAAAGTCCTGCACTTAGCTAATCAGCTGTTGTACATCCACGCAGGCAATGCCACCACATTTGAAGTTTACCCTTCAAAATACTCCAGAGGAAACCAACCCTGAGCATGCCCAGGCTGAGAGTTTGGATGATTTTGTACCAAATGAAAAGACTCATCTGCCACGTAACTGTAAATGGGCAAACCCACCTCAGCTCATCCTCAGACTCATCCCAGGAGACTAGACCAGTATTAACACCATTGCTCTCTGCAGACAGTTGTATAACCTTGCATGTTCAGGTGCAGTTTGTTGCCCTCCAGCCAATCCAAGCAGAAGGAAAGGTTTATTCCCAATGAAATGGAAGCATTAAACATCAACATCTATTTCTTTCTGTGTGGCATATCAGAGGATGCACCCTTCAAGGGTGCCAGAGCCCTGGAACAAGCTGGCCAGAGAGGCTGTAGAGTCTCCTTCTCTGTGGAGATTCCAAACCTACCTGGACACCATCCTGGGAACCCTGCTTGGACTGACCCTGCTGGAGCAGGGGGGTTGGACAAGATGATCTCCAGAGGTCCCTTCCAACCCCTGCCACCTACAAGGCAATCTGTGGGATCCATCCCAATAAGGCAGGACAGCTTTATGGAGAAGCATCAGAGAGCAGTGCAGAGCAGGAGACCCTACCTGAGGCCCTCTCCAAATCCCTTACAGTCAGACAAGGAAGGACAGAGGGCAAGAACCAACACACCCAGCTCCCTCTGATCTTCTGGGCACCTGTGAAAAAGTGCTCTGCCCAAAGGAGACCGGACAGCACAGCTTCTCTGCTGCCCTGACAGGGATTTCTAGAGAAGCCATCCTAGTCCTGTAGCATGGTTTGGTTAGTGTTTCGAGGCCAAGGTGGATGTGTCATACCAGAGGAAGTAAACCACAGAGGGACCCCCACAGCAGAGTACCTGTATCCACAAGCAGAGGCAACTTCACAGCAGTAGACCAGACCACCACTGCCTGTTGCTTAGCAAGCCTCATTGGGAGCCAGGGCACACTTTGACCAGGAAGCTCTCCAACAGGCCAGTCCCTGCCCAACCATAGTGCCTGCTACAAGTGTCCTCAAGGAAGCACCCCCAGCTGGGCTGGGGGCTCCCAGGCTGCCCAGGGGAGGGCAGCTCCTGTCTGTACCATGGACACTTTGTCACACTGCCTTGCTGATATGTGTTCCCTTGCTCAGACACCCTCCTTGTACAGGATTTTCTCAGCTGTGCATTCATAAGACACAAAATAAGGTCTTTTCCTAAAGAGGCTGTAAGTTTACACGAGTTCATTCGAGATTATTTAAGGCTTGTGCACACATGTCACAGGTACAGAGCAGGTCGCACGAGCACAGCCAAGTGAAAGCTGGAGATGTGACTCTGTGCAGATTGGCTTTTTCATCAATAAGAAAGAAGGTTTCACCAAAAAGGTCCCATTTGCCAATTTTAAAAGCTTTCAAAAATACTGCTCCTCTCTCCCTCTGCTCACAACTCCCTGTAGTAGCCTTAGAAAAAGGTTCTAGTTTGGGTCAGGATGCTGAGCCTGGTGCTTGGCAAAGACCAACTGGAGCAAATAAAAAAGGCACACTGAACAAATCTGGAAGCCAAGTCATGGAAGCAAATCCTTGTCCT